AGCAAATCACCTCTTAATTTTCTATTTGCAAACTAATTTAAGACTAGCTACTATTAGTTATAGAGGAGGAAAGAGGGTGCCCAATATTTAATTTATTAAATTTGATATAATTAAATAAAGATAAAACAATTTCGAATTTATTACAATAAATTAAACTAATTTGAAATAAATTTTAAATATAGAAATAAAAATTACGGCAATTTTTTATATATATCAGTTTCGTATAATATTGCATACATCAATTCGAATTAGCCAATAAAATCACTACAAACGCTTCACATGATTATAGTCTTATAGTATCAATTATTAATAAAATTTATCATTAAAGGCAATAATAAAATTATAAACAAGAAACATTACTTTGTAAATATTAAAGGTTGCATTCAGTATATGATTATCCAGTTTGCTAACTTATTTAAAATTGTTTGCCAGAAATATTATTTTTAGTACTATTACTGTAAAAATTTCAAGTCTATTTATTCTTATAGTATTGAATGTATTGCTTGTTTTCATATGTTTCTAATGCTAAAAGTTTTATGAGTTTAGTAAATCTTTGCAAACAAATTAATTTATCGGAACTATGGTTATTTGTTAACAAAGATCTCAGATTATTTGGATACAATTAGCTCTTATTATAGCAAACTCTTGGGAAGATTCGATATGGTTAAAAATTTTAAATTACAAAAATATTAAAGGTCAGAACATAAAGAAGTATACATAGTATTCAAGTGATCAGCCCAATAACTTCAATATAGCAAGAGTGAGTTATATACCCAAATAAGTAATAAAGCAAAATCGCAGTTCTTTTTTCTTGATAACAATAATGCGAGTATAAATTTTCAATATCTTGTATTTACATTTCATGTATATATGCAAAATATTAAATTATATCTGTGCTTTGTTAATTCTTGCAAACTTGCCAGTCTATAATTACTATTCTGCTAATAATTAATATATATGTTAATGCAAATTATAACATAATGCAAAATTAAATATAAATACAAAAAACTTCTAGTCTATAAAAAGAATGTAATCCAATCTTCAGAAAAGCCTAATCAACAACAGACTGGTAGATACTGTGGATTTAAAGATGGGAGATGGATATTCTTATTTAGCTTAATCTGAACTAATGTAATATGATTATTTCCACACCAATGCAGAATGATAAGCTTTTTACAATGTCCAGACTTTTGATTAAATAGTAAGAAAAAGATACTTGTTGTAGGATCAATACCAAATATTACAACTGGTATGTTGAATGCATCAGATACCAGTTGTGTACATTTAGGCATATAAAACTAATAGTTCTGTGAACATTCAGATTCTGTATATAATAAAACATCTATAAGCCGTTCGACATTATATTCGAGTATGTTGTTATACATTTTTTCCTGTTTATTCAAATAATCTCTCATAATAACTTTTATATCTCGCTATTTTTTTCATCTTTTAAAATAGCTACAGCCAATGATCAAATCCACAATAACCGTCATTAATTGGATTATACATCTGTAAGATTGCATCTTGAGGAATGTTTGGATTGGTATATACTTCAGGTAGACATAATCTAACTGCATTGTTATTAGAATTTTGTTTAACAGTATCTGTCTTTGGTGGCCAACCATGTTTACACTTAAATTCTGGCATCTTTAGTTTATCACAATTAGCCGTATTATCAATGCTAACAGTTTTAAAAGCAATTAAGTTATTCTTTTTTATTTTTTGTTCAGAAGAGTATTTTTTTGAAGATATTCTGTTTTCTTTGTTTTCTTCATTTGCACTGTGAATACGATTGTTATTTGGTGGCCAATCACGTGTACGCTTAATGGCTGGCATTTTGATTTCATGATAATTTGCAGTGTTCTTGATGTTGATTGTTTCAAAAATATCTTTAAATATATTATTTTTGTTATTTTGTAGCAAATTTGGTATTTCTCCATACTCTAAAACATATTCAGAAGCCTGTTGCATAAAATTTGAAAAGACACCATGGTTATAAGTTGGAAGTTGTTCAAAATTGTTGTAATATGAGAGTAAACTGCATGTTCCATTTCTGCATGATGGTGTATATTCCAATGCTGATGAATCTTATTTGGTGATACATAAGTGTGTACGTGAAGTAAATACACTGCAATAATATGATGACATGAAGTCCTAGTGTATCGTGAATATAGACACGTACAGGTGCTGGGTGATCCAAGATGTATAATATATATTTGGTTGGACTTATCATTAATTTGTGACACATTATATACAAGTTTATCGCTCTCAAATATATTGTAGATACCAGATTTCACAAGATCATCTTGTTGTTTAATGTATGATTCAAATGCAAATCGTAAGCAAACTAGCCTTAGTCTTTCCAGACCAGCATTCATTTTATCATGTGTATGTTTATTTTGATGTATGAAAGTTTCATATGCTTGCTTTTTAGAAAATTCTTGTATCTGTTTTCTGAGAATTGCAAACAACTTATCAATCAGGATAACTCTGTTTTTAACATCTTTTAATTTACTGTATAAACTTTCAACCCGTTGACTTGACTTTATGTCAAGATTAATATTACCCTTAGTATAAAGTGCAAGCCAACTCTTTCTGTATAGCATCCAGGTTTCACATATATATTGTTTTGCCCTTGGGAATTGTTTCTACCACATATTAATTTTGTAATCTAATTGACTTTCCAAAATATCACTATAGGTAAGTTTCTGAATGACTTTAGTAAATTTGTCAAAGGTAATATCTTTTCTAAGTTTACTTTTTATATTCTTAAAAATATGTCATGTGCATAGTTGATGTCTCACACAAGGAAATAAATTAGAAATTGCTAACATTAGGGCAAGCTCTCGATCAGTTATAATAGTTTCTATTTGTGTATTGCCTGTAAACACAATTAACACCTTGCTTAGTTGCTGTAATATCCAAATATAAAAATCTTGTTTTTCTGAATAAACAAGAGTGAATGCTAATGGATATGTAGACCCAAACTGATCAACACTACATATAACAATTAAGGGCATAGAGAACCTGTTCGTTTTATAAGTTGCGTTGATAATTAAAACATCTTTTTCTACTGCAAATTCAGAAATTGAATCATGGTATGCCCAAAAAACTGCTTGGATAAATTCATCGTCTTGATCTTGTTCATCATTGTATACATCATTTAAGGCAATATTTCCTACAATATTATCATCATCACACAAAGTTTTAAGAAGTAATTCAACTTCACTCAAATCTTGCAATTTACGTTTGCATTGACGGCTCACTGTATTGTATACATCAGGTTTATGAATATATTTTGAACTAACCGAGTTCAAGACTGAAAATATATTTTTAGTTCTAAGTTCGTTATCATAGAGCCTTTCTATCAAACTCAGATCATCATTATCAAGTTTATGACTAACAGTACTAAATTTAGTGGTACTCAAGCAAACATCGTGATTATGTTTCAGACATGACTTAGTTATAATATATACATCAGTGCACTTATAGTAGTTTATACTAATGGCAAATTTATATCCAAAATGCTTAGTAGTATATTCATCATTCTTTCCACTATATTTTCTTTGCTTTTCACATACAAAATGTGCTTATTTATAACTGTTATCAGGATTTTCGACATCTTTCTTAGAATTATAACAGAATTTATTTGCATTGTGTATCTTTCAATTGTTATACGAGCTTCAGCAAAAGTTGCGAAAGCACGTTCAGGCTCAACAGCACTAGTATCCATTGTCAATATCTCTTAATGAATATTTTATTCTTTAATAACACGAAATGTAAAGTGGCTCACTAATTAATTGTATCACGTCTGTCTATATCTCCACAATTTTAAAGCACAGGCACAAAATAATCTAAATAAATAAATAAAAAATTAGAATACTGGTTTTAAGTTCTTGTTATAAACAAAGTTATTAACAGCTTTTTTTTTTTACAGAAGAAATTTTGCTTTGCTTTTCGTCTTCAATTTCCTAATCTGGATATTTATTCCTGTAGCATGATCAGAAAATTTTTATATATACGTAAAATGCAGATGCAGAAAATTTCTTCGCCTCCCTTGTCGTCATCCTTTTTATTAATTATTTCCTATTTTGGCTATTTTACCCATATTATAATCTGTATAAAGTAGGCATAAAAAATTTGTTTTATATAAAGAAAGTTGCTGAAAACTTAGCTTTGCCTCTTGTCTTGGTTTTCACTTATATGTACAAAGGAGATGGTCACAAAAAAGTCGATTAATCGTAGTAAGTATTTTAAGTTAGATGCGGATTAAATTTTAATTGTGAACAAAAGAGTTGCCTGAGTGTTGAAAAGTTAAGTATTTATATTATTTGATATGTGCATAATAGTCAATTTAACTACTCTTTATTCTAATTAAAATCTATGTTATAAGATCAAAAATCAAATTATAATATACTATAAAATGTAATTTTATTGGCTAATTCGAATTGATGTATGCAATGTTATATGAGATCAAAAGTCAAATTATGATATACTATAAAATGTGATTTCATTAGCTAATTCGAATTGATATATGCAATAGATCAAAAATTAAATTATAATATACTATAAAATGTGATTTTATTAGCTAATTCGTAGTGTTCTGCATGGATCGGATCAGATGGATCTTTTTAAAGATCCGGTTCCAATCTGACAAACCAGATCAAATCCAAGTCCAGATTTGGATCTGAATAAGCAAGATCCAGATCCGGATCTGGATCTGATAATAGATAATGCTTTTTTTTAAAAAATATACACTTATTTATATAATCGCTTTTAATTATTATGTTATTTTTTAATTATGATGACATTTTTTTTTATTATTATGATAATAATTATATTTTTTTTAATTATTATGATATTTTTATGATAATTTTTAAATAATTACTTTCAATAACTTTTAAAAGAACTTTCGAACCAATTTATTTCCAAGCGAATATCAAAAAATTCATATTATTTTCGGATATATCAATCTTTATTTACTAATTTTGAAGAATTTCTCAAGCTACTTTATTTAAATTTGCGAGTGAAAGATTATCTTCGCTCACGACTTCTTAATACAAATGTATTATCCGGTTCAATTTCTGATGATTTATTTAAATCCGCAAGCGATTCATTATATCTAACTTAAGTATAAACTTAGTAAAAATAACTGCATGATTTAGAACTATTAAATATTAAGTTATATACATACGGTTCATCCAATTCTCGCCACCATGACTTTAAATACATCGCAATTCGCACTGTTTTTTTATTTAGTCGATTTCACTTTTCGGTTATCATATCACTACTAATGCTAAAAACTTGTTCACTTGAGACACTCGTTGCAGGTATCAGAAGACAGTCTCTAGCAAATCTCGAAAGATTTGGATAATTAGCTTTATTTATTCACCACCATTCTAGAATATCAATACACGGATCAACTAGTGGTGCATTTAAGTATATATCAAGTTCACTTTGACGCTCAATACGGGTTTGTTTGTAAATTCATGATATTATATTCGTTGTGGACGTTTCAGCAATTGAGTTTACTACATCTTGACCAGGGACAGGTGCATATTGATTTTCGTATTTATTTTTAATGCTATAAAATAATATATATAGTATTAATTAATACATTATTGGTTACATCTTTTATACTACAAATGAAACTAACATGTCTTTAATTTGATTAGTAAGTTGCAACGACCATCCGAGCTCTTCAAAATACTGAAACTTAAGTCGTGGATCTAACACTATTGCCAAAATATGCTATGTATTTGTTTTTTGACAATATTCTAGAAGTTTAGCAGTCGTAGCTTGACATCCTCGTACGAGCCATTGTGATATATTACTTCTTCTTTGAGTTTTACCTAGCGTTTCAAGCAATGTGTGATACAGGGGAACAACTATCGATAATGTTGGATATTCGGATGCTGATACGATGGTTGTTACTAAACAAATATTTTATGTAATACGTTTATTAATATAAACTAATAAATTACATTACAATACAGTTTACTAACCATTTTTAAATGGTTTTAAAACTTCGACTACAAGTTTTATTTTATCCCATTCATCCTCACTAAAAACATATGACCGCGAATCCGATTCAGCTAAAGCAACACTATCTAATACTATTCGCAACTCTATAGCCCGATTACATATTTCGAAGGTAGAATTCCATCTAGTGCTTACATCGAGGATTGGTTTTAATTTGCTCATATTATGAATTTGACATGCCTTTTGCAACCTTTTGCAACGTTTTGGTGTTTCTCTAACACTTTTAATCAATAATCGCAGCTAAAAAAAAATATATATATATATATATAAATATAAAATAAATAATAATAATAAACCCACGAATCGACCCAATTTCATTAATAAAAAAAAAAAAAATACTAACCCTTTCTAATTCCGTTCCCATGATATTTAACATGCTTTGCACTGCAAGGTTTAAAATGTGTCCAAAACATCGTACCGATTGTTGCATACTATCAAACTTGATACCAATTTGTGACAAAGAATATGCAAAGTCTTGCATAAACCTATTATTAGACGATGCATTGTCACGAGTAATTGCAACTAACTTTGAGATAATACCCATTTCTTGAAGACATGTTTCCATTGCATTTGAAATTGCGGCATCCGTATGCGAACCTTTCATACTAACAAAATCTAACAAAATATTTTTAAGCTTCCATGATGCATTTAGGTAGTGGATAGTTACGGCTATAAATGACTTGTCACCAGTATCATTCATCCATATATCAGTAGTTACAGCTATACCTCTAAGAATTTCTTGCAACTTTCTTCGAAGCCTCCTTCGTTCTATTTCGAAATCATACACTATGTGTCTTTTACTGAATCGGCCGAAGGTGCTATTAAAAAAAAAAAACTAAGTATATCTTTTTATTCTCAAGCACTATTCTAATAAATATCATACCTGCTGCGCGAGGATCTAAAAATTTAAAAATCGATACAAGTTCTTCATCTTCAGTGATTAAAAAAGGTCAATTACGTTTAATGATCCATTGTTTAATAAGATTATCAAATTTAATTTTATTAAATGGTTCGCGGAAATGATTATTGATCTAAT